AACTAAAAGTAAAATTGAAGGAATAAATTTTTTACAAGGAACGACTAGTGAAGAGGCTAAGACCATGATAGAATAAGAAACTGGACAAACATTTTTCTGTATACAGAGTTCGGGGTTTCATTGACGAATTGAATTAAACTCTTCACTAGTCGTTCCTTGTAAAAAATTTATTCCTTCAATTTTACTTTTAGTTTACTTTTACTTTAATAATTAATTCACTATTATCACTCTCATATGTTCCTTTTGTACATTTTCACACTTGTTAAATTGACACTCAACTACCTTTATTCTCACTCAATAACAATTTTAACCTTTTCAAATTTCTAACCCTTTCTTCCTTTGTGCCGTTGAATACTACGTGATTTACAACTTTGATTTTTACTTCTAAAGCCACCTCTGAGTAATTATATCAATTATGTCACCCTCTATTACTCAATAATAGACTACTATACAGTTTTCGTAAATATAAATACGACTCTACAGCCTCTGAAGATGATTTCGTCGATTAAGAAAATTTTGTTTGCTGAATTGTCATTTACTGTACAGTTTTCTTTATTCTTACCTAATCGTCGTAAGGATAAGATAACTTTCCAGATGTCAGAGAGAGATACTGAAGAATGCTTATTGCATGCATTCTTAATCTATTGGATAAACAAAGCTTCATATCTCAAAATAGCGAGGTGGGACCAAAGACATTAACGGGGCACAAAAACGGAGCAAAATCAAGGTTACCTGACCTTTAGAAAACATAAAGATTGAGCGAGGAAATATTTACTTTTCAATTAGATCCTCATCTCTGGCTCTACTCTAATATATACAGCATTTTTATTACAATACACAACAATTTACCAATCAAGTGAAAATATGTTTGTTAACAATAATTAGTCAGTGTCAACATGTCAATGGGGTGATAATTAACGAAGAAAATTAATACACACAATTAAAAGGTAGAAATGGTTACAACACGTGGATTGCACAATGCATAATTTTGGAAGAACGAAGAGTAATTAAGGAATAAGCGTGTACATAGGTTGATTACGTAACAGATTGTTAAAGAAAGTAAAACGATTTGGACAATGATAGCTTGTAACTAAGGCTGAAGTGGTCATAAGAATAAAATAACTTCACAAGGATAACATGTAATTAAAGAGAAATAGTCAGAAAAAATAAAATAATTTGGACAGTTGTAACTTTAAAGGTTTAGGGGGAGGGGGGCGAAGTTGTCTGTCCGGTCTATACATTCATGTAACGATGGCCAAGGTAAGGAAAGTGGCTGTACAAATTTCTTCTGAACACACAGTTTTGGTTTCTCCAGGTGGATTCCTATTGCTTCAGCTGTATGTAGAAGACGAACTCGTAAAGCAAAATTAAGGTTAGTAGGAATGCGATAGATAATTTTGAATGCAGTATTAACATCAACCTTATGGTCACTGTCTACAAGGTGTGCTAAAACAGAGCTACGAATAGATCTTGTTTGTCCCTTGCTCAACCATGCTGGATGATGTTCGGAAATACGATGATGAACCTGCCTAATTGTACGCCCGATGTAGCTGGCTCCGCAGCTGCAGTCAAACTGCTAGATACACATAGAGGAGGCAAATTTAGGTAGTTTATCCCTATTTCTCGAACGTAGAGTAGGGGTGGTTGTGAAGAGACAACGTACCTCTGCTGCATAATAAACTCGTTTAACTGCATTCTTCAAGCGCTGTGTTATTATTTCGCTGATGTTGTCACTGAGGAACTGCAGTTTTATGAACAGTGGGTTTTTCCGAACTGTTGCCATACTGGCTCTCTTAGGTGCAGAATTCATATTTTTCCCAATGAATTTATCTGGATAACCATTTTTTCTAAGTAATTCTCTTTAATCTTAAGCTCCTCATTGAGGCAGTCGTCTGAACAGATTAACCTAGCCCTATGAACCAGACACTTTACCAGGTTACTTTTATATTTCAAAGGTACAAAACTCAAAAAATGAGTGTACTGACCTGTCGAATCGAAGGCAGCCCTAATATCAAGAAACACAACGATTGTTGGTCTGCAATACGTGTGGTGGTGTTCCGACAACTGACGAAGGGCGAACACATGGTCAATGCATCCAGCCTGCTTTCTGCGAATCAATCCCTCACTTGTTTTGCACAGCCTGCGAAGTAAAGCAGCAGCCAGTATTTTCGACGCAGCTGGTAGAAGACTGACACACCTATGGTCTTTTCAGGCTGGTAATTGGCGTGCCATCTGCCTCGCAGACCGTCTCGCTAACACCTCATTTCTTGCTGCCGGTAGCTCGGATAAGCTGGGACAGCTTCCAACTGTTGTCAGATGCAGCAGCTGACTCCATACCACACGCATGTGTCTCACCACCAGGTTTCGCGGTCCTTATGTAAACACTTTTCTAATCTTGCGCGTAAGCGCCTTTCGCATATTGTTGTACTGGCTGCCAGCCATGATGGACCAGAGTTCATGTAGGAGTTACAAAGAACTCGCAAAAACCCAGTGGTTTTTGGCGGAGCATTCTTTTAAGCTGCAAGCGACTACATTCGCCATATGCATGGCGTCTTGCAGAGGGGGTTGCGTGGATGTAAGAGTGCTTACAAAGCATCAGCACACATTTCCTGTCATTGTGCCTTCAGCCTAGACATTCTGTGAGAGGTGTGACGTTATGATTGCTGTTAGTTAGTAAGAATTGGTCTTTTTTGTCTGGTCTGTCTGAATGGCGACTGTTTAATAATTGCGTTTTTGATAATCTCCACTTAATGAAGACTATTTACATTTCGTATCGATATTGTGTAATTGATTTTCGCATCCTACTCTGTCTGTTTAACCTTGGTTTAATTCGTTATTCAGTAGGTGAATTCATGGTGAAAATTGACTCATTTCCTCGAGCGATCTCTTTTCATTCACAGATTTAGATTTCCTTTCCATTTGGCGATGTGCAAGCATTCATGTATTGTGTTGCTCGATTTGACCAAGCTCTCGTACATGTATATCCTAGTACTTCTTCACGTTTATTATTGTGTCCTAGCGTTGTGATTATCAGCTATTCACAACGTAAATCAAAAGGCACTTGAGAAGGAGTACGAACGTGTGTTGTTGCAGTAATCAAAATTCAAAAGTTGGGCGAGTACTATATATATATATATATATATATATATATATATATATATATATATATATATATATATATAGCTCAACCACCAACCATCTGTTCTCTTACCTCACTTGGTGGTCGTTAAGAGTAAAATGTCTTTTTTCATTATCTACTTGTTGTATGTTTTGCAATTTTTTCTAAATCTGTGTCTTTTTCTCTCCAATTTTCTTCTGTTTAAATATCAGATAGTTCAAATTCTTGTGAATAATTCTCCACCAATAATTTCTGGGAAAGGTAAAACTGATCACATCTCTGAACAACATATCGGTGTCGTGCATATTGATGGTACAGTCGATGTTTATCAATATAACACAACGCTGTCTAACCAAAATACGACGCTTACACATGCTTATCACAGTGGTGATGATGATGAAGGCGAATATTACAATAATAGTCAAAAAGAGTCAGTTTTCAACAGAAACGGTAGAGTGAAACCATGTGGTGTATTCTTGTCAAGTTCTTCTGACCACTCATGGAGATTATTGACTTCATCTGGACTTTCTGATATCTCATCATCACCACAGTCATCAGCAACAGCAAGCTTATCTGTTGAATCTCATAATACAAGACATTTATTGAATTACCAACTTCGTGTATATCCTGGTATACGAATGATGAAAGCACCTGGTTTTAATGATAACTCTTTGTTAATTCATTATTTAAAGTATATGACTGCTATATAATGATGTTAATGATGATTTAATGAATAACTGAAGAAAATAGCTATGGGGGTGGACGTGTGTGTATGTAGATGTATATAAGCCGCAACACAAGATATTTAACCATAATTAATTGCCACTTTCTTTATATGTTTATTTATATTCACTAGGTATATTGTATGCATTTAGTAGTATTCTGACTGAAATTTTAACGAAAAAAAATATAAAAACATTAACAAGTATCTCTTTTTGACTTTTCAACTCATTATTTTCCTCTTTTCTGTTATTTATTTGCTTGGATTGGTGAACTTTTATGGCATACTTTGCGTATTTACACAAGCCGAAATTTGATTATGATCATTTCACATCTCTATCTTTTTTCACTACTTTACGCTATGTGCCAGTGTGGACAGTTTTCTGATTGATTATCCATCCGTCTAGCTAGGGTACACACACACTAACTGACCTCTAAAAAATTGAATGCTCGCAATTGGTCTCACCTGTCAAGTGTTATTGTTTTCTAGGTGAATCACAAATTGATTTCAGCTACAGAATTATTAAGAGCCACGGAATACTAGGCAACTTTTTCCTTCTAGCTTGATACTATTCAGTGGTGCGCACGCATGATCCCACAGAAAGGAATCGAAATCAGTACTTTCAAAATACGAGAAAGTCGCGCAGATTGACAGTAGTTAGAATTCATGGATCATTGGATTTCGTTTCAGTAGTTGAATGGTCAGGGGGTTTGTCTCGTAATGTCGAGGTCCCTGTTTTCATCCCTATTGGTGGGTTTATGGGTGCGCACTATGGAAGAGTCTCAAACTAAGAGGAAACAACTGTTTAGTACTCTCTGGTCCTCAGTGATTCTCTATTTGAAGTCAGTTCTCGACCTAACTTAAAATCAATTAAATCCTTACAAAACAACCTTTACTGTGATTAATTTTTAGAAGAGAGAATAGTTACTCGGTGGAATGAGCTTGTGTGATAGGACTTATAGTATATGATATCAGCTCACTAATTAAACCTTAGTTCAATGAAAATAGGAAGAAGTTAATGCGTTGAGTAGTCATTCAGCTTCATGAATTGTTATCAACATGATCTGTATTAATGGCAATATAATTAGAAAAAAATTCAATTCCATCTAACAAGCTTAACATCGCACTGTATTGCAAACTAGACGAAGGAGAAGACATTTCATGTCAATATTTTTAAAAATATGTAATTCGCACTTATCTGTAATCTATGAAGATGTATGTTATGATGTTTTTATTTATCTAGTTCTTCCATAGTGTAACTCGGATCTTCAGTATGATTCCAAAGTATTTATTTGGAATGAGTTGAATTTTTCACTACAAACACATTTATCATCTAGTGTCTGTGTCATTAATTCTGTGTTTAGAGGTATGTTTGTCGTCAAGAGTCAAGTCACAGTTCCATTATCTCATCGTTATTTTTAAAATGCTACCATTCATTCACCCGTGCAAAAACCAATTTAGTCGAGATGTTGCTCACTAACCTAAAACTTTAAGTTTCAACCAATGGATTGGCGTTCTACCCACTGCCTACTTCAGCCTGGGCAAGTGGGTAGTATATCATCAGGCCTTGTACAATAACTGTAGCTTATAGCCTCATACGTTCATCGGCGGTTCGACAATTGAATGCTCACCAACCAATTTGCAAGTGATTCGGGCTCGACTCCCCAACCACGAACGCACTCTTAAAACTCGCCTAGCCGGTAAAGAGGGAAAATTGGGCTAACGCTAGCAACCCCGTCGCACTAAAACACTACCACTACTGGAACTTCATACCCAAGACGTGTGTTCCAGTTGGAATGCAAGGGGACGAAAAGATCAGTTCCGAACAGCTGACTGCTAACTGTTTGACTTACAGTGGTGGTCTTTACTTATCGCATTTCTTTTTTTACTGTATAAGGGTGCTATATAATAGGGTTTTTCTATATTTTAGCCGGTTTATGTATCGTATAGCAGCGTATACGCTATAGCTTTTGTTTGATGATAAATGTGATGCAATCTGACTACTCATACTTGATTGGTTTGAACGAAGTATGCAATCCATTGGATGATCTGTTATGAAGCTTTCACTGATGCTGACTCAAAAGATGATAATCGAATAGTCACTATGTGATTTCTGGATTGCATTTCATCATTATTATTGTTATATTTTTGAATTGTATCCATATTAGTATTGTAACACTTTACAGGGTTGCTTCTCAACTCATATTTACAGCCAAATGATTTCATAGTAAGTTGATGGTTTCAATTTTGAAGAAAATCGAAAGTTACCTGTTGAGGAATTTTTCAGAATGTTCGTTTTACCATTGTTTGCCTACCCTCCACCCTCACTCCCACCCTACACTCACACACATTTGAGTTATCTAGTTTTATATTTGTTCAGTATGCTGTCCACTCGTGTTTTCCGGTTCTCCCTTTTTGTTTATTATGTTCTTTGTTTATGTTTGTTTACTTTAATGGAGGAGGAGTTATGAATCGTTTTCAATATTGAATTTGAACATACATGTGTGTATGCATAATTGTCTTAGATCTTTCTTTGAATGGTATTATTGTTCAAGTGATCACTAGTTTATGTGTAGGAATTTGTATTTTTGTTAAATGGACATTAGTGCTTCATTTTTTAACATTTAAGTGTTACGAATTTTAGTTTCCGAAATGTGCTTTCCATTTTTCCCCTACTATGTTGATTGCTGAAGAAATATGGATACGAAACGCTCGTGTGTCATTTGCCAGCCTAGGTCATCTCTGGCACAGACTTGATATCTGGCTATCCACCGAAGGACGTGTATGCTACGCAGCAGTCCTCTTTTATGATTGCGAGCCAGGGCCATTGAAAGTGAGAGATATGAAAAGACTTAACGACTCTAGGTATTTCCGTTCTGTCTTTTGTGTTAAGCGGCATGATATGGTGAGTAATAATGAGGTTAGGCTTAGAGTCATTTGATTAGGTTGTTAGGGTGAATTGATTGAGATGACCACAACGCGTGTTGCGCGTCCTGAGCCATCGCTATCCTTGGTGAGCATTAGTAGCTGATATAGAATTAGGTTGGAAAAGAGTTCAGGGTGGTCAAACACAAACCTGGAATCAATCCATGAAGTCTTGGACTGTTGGTTTCAGCCACGTAGGGACTGCAGACTCCCTGTATGGAATCCTCGAACTACCAAAATCCAATGACTGGAGACCATCGGTGATATGGGTTAAAATTATTCCCAATAGCTCAAACGTATTCACTCTTTGTGATCTCCCAAACACATAAAACCCTCAAGTTTGCTATATTATTTTTCTGTCTTTCGCGTATTTCTGCTGATTATACTTCTTTTGAAGCCTTTTCCTTTATCTCTGTATGCTACATTGAGTGTTGAACCTTGATTCCATATTAGTTTGTTTATTAGATATATCACACAGTGAAACAGTATTATTTACTGGATGACGTTTCTAACAAAATTTACTGTTCATAATCATATCAATTGTAATCACACGACTTTGAAACTTGAGTTTTATAGTTTTCTCCTATTTGTCGTAGGGGTAGTAGAATTTTCCAGATATCGGGGACAGGTGATGAATCATTCCTATTACATGTATTTGCAGTTGATTCGATAAACAAAGCTTCTGTTATCAATCTCTTCCTCCACCCTGTGACATTAGATTTTAAAACTGTCATCCCATCCCATCCTATTGTACTAAGTAGTACCAAAGAAAATCCAAAACAGGAACTGATACACATAAAAGAAGCTTTGAAACTTAATAATTACCCGGATAAATTAGTCAGGAAATATGTAAGGAAATGTAAAAATGAAATAAATAATGATAGTTTTACGAGTTGATCACGGACTGATATCAGTTAGAGAACCATTGAAAACCAGGGAGTACTGGACAGCTGCTGTTTCATCCTAGTTTGGGAATCATCGGCAGTACGCACCCACTGGGATTCGAACCCAGGACCTTCTGGTTACAAGGCAAGGTCGTATACAATTCAGCCACCGGGACCCGATTCAATGGCTCACGAATTCTAACTTGTACCAATTCGTGATTTTAGCGCGACGCCCCCCCCAGGAAGCTCCAACCTGTAGCAAGTCACTAGCGAGCATCCGAATAATTTTCTATAGTTCGGTTTATAAGGATTAGTGGGTGCGTACTGCCGATGATTCCCAAACTAGGATGAAACAGCAGCTGTCCAGTACTCCCTGGTTTTCAATGGTTCTCTAACTGATATCAGTCCGTGATCAACTCGTAAAACATAACTAATCCTTACAAATCAAACTATAGAAAATAATGATAGTAGCGATAGTGATAATAATAATAATATTAATGACGACACCAACAATAAGGAATCTAAATCATCAGTAGTAATTCCATACAAGGAAGGAACCTCGGAAGCCTTACGCAGAATTCTAAACAAGGCAGGAATAAAAATGGCATTCAAACACACAAACTCAATTAGAAACAAGCTTTGTCGGTTAAAGGATCCTGTAGAGCCTTTAAATTAAAACAGTTGAGTTTATCTAATACCCTGCAATGAATGTCAGGTCAAATACATGGGTCAAACTAGTAGAATAGGGGCAGTCAGACTAGCTGAACATAAAAACTTAGCAAAATCTAGATTGGTTGATCCAAATAAGATAAGAAATCTAGAAAATAGTTCAGCCATAGCACTACATGCAGTTACACACAACCATACAATAGAATGGAATAGGTTGACAGTTTTAAAATCTAATGTCACAGGGTGGAGGAAGAGATTGATAACAGAAGCTTTGTTTATCGAATCAACTGCAAATACATGTAATAGGAATGATTCATCACCTGTCCCCGATATCTGGAAAATTCTACTACCCCTACGACAAATAGGAGAAAACTATAAAACTCAAGTTTCAAAGTCGTGTGATTACAATTGATATGATTATGAACAGTAAATTTTGTTAGAAACGTCATCCAGTAAATAATACTGTTTCACTGTGTGGTATATCTAATAAACAAACTAATATGGAATTACTTACTACCACAGTGCCCAAGTTTTACACATATGTTGAACCTTGATTTTTTACACTTCTGTGCGTAGTTCTACAATGAAACTCAGTTTGTTAGTCGTATCACTTTTGCGAATATTGTGAGCGTCATTTATGTTTTTGATACTTCTATTCCTTTTGAAGGCAAAACAACCATATATTGAGACAAGTGAATTGAATGCAAATGATGTACAAGTGACACTGATTATGCAAGGTTTACAAGCACCTTCACGAGGATTTTGTGGACTTATTAAACCAGGTTGTTCAGGTAATTTTCGTGGAGATTCATGTAGTTCAACATCATCAAGTATTCGTGAGCAGTTAGCCAATGGTCTGTTGAAAGTGGAACTTGGTGAATAGTAAGTTATTGTTTTGTTCAGTTTTCAATGAATCTTTAGTCTTTGATTTTTTCTGGCTACTTGTCCCACAAAGTTAATGGAAGTTTTACAAATCAACTATCACTATCTCCGTCTGCAGTACTAATATTTTATCGCTGGATAGTGCATGCCCTTCAGTGTGAATAAAATTAATAAGCATATCTCATTTATCCCATATTTGTTTGACGATTAATTCTAAGTAGTCCTTTAATTAATAAAAACAAATTCACTGTTCTCAACACTTCAGTTTCAATCAGTGGGTGTGAACCCCACTTTGATTATATTACGAAGATGCATAGGGTGTCTGGATACGAATTTCTTCTTACTATATAGCGAAAATTCTCATTCAGACATAGAGAAGGATTCTTCTACGCTGGCTTTGTGACCGGTTTGCACCAGATGGTCTAATATCGAGCTGTTAATAGTTTTAACTACACCTTTACTTAGCCATAGTAGGATATGTTCTCGAGCACGAAAAATCAAGTTCCTAGAGCAATGGCCAACATAACTCGCTCAACAAGCGCAGTTGAATTGATAAATACAATTTGAAGTGGCTAGTCTAGGTACTTCATCTTTCAGTCGAGGTAGCACCATCGGTCGTGTAGAGAATAATACGTGTAGTTCGCCAGCATTGAAAGTTCTTTGAACTGATTTTCTTAATTCCTTCGTAATTAACTCGCTTGGTATATCGCCCATGAACTGCAGTCGTATATAAAGTGGCTTCTTGTTTACAGATAGTGGGTAGTCCTTTTCGGCTTTCTTTGTCATATGTTTCTTGATAAATTTGTCAGGATAACCATTTTCGATTAGAGTATCATATACCAAGCTTAATTCATCTTTAATTACTTCTTCAGAGCATGTAGCTCTAACTCTGTGGCTAAGAGTCTTCACCAAATTCCTTTTGTATTTGATGGGAACGAAGCTATGAAAGTGTGTATATTGTCCCGTCCAAGTACTTTTTCTATGTAAATTTCTTTTTATGCTACCGTCTGGTTTTCTTGTAAGTAGGACATCCAGGAAGGCAATTCTGTCTTGGGATTCCTCTTCGCATGTGAATTTCATAGCCGAATGTACTTCATTGAATTCAGTAATTATTGTAATCCTATCGGAACCATTATCACAAAGAATGAAGGTATCATCCATATATCGGCAATAAAATGAGAGCTTACTGATAAGGTTGTTCAGAGGTCCATTTTTCAGCTTACTTAGAAAGAAATCAGCCAGAATGGGACCCACCCCGTCCCCTTGCCTGTAAAGCGTGCCGTCAAATTTGAAGTTTACATTCATGGTACATCTTAATATCAATTCTTTTAGGATTTCAATATGGATTCCAATGTTTATCGACTGCTTGTCCACTTGTTCACATATATAATTAACTGTTTCTATTAGAGGTACATTTGTGAATAACGATGTTATGTCCAGAGATATTCTGGTTTTGTCCTTGATATAAATATCTTTGATTTTGTCTACGAATTGAAATACATCTTTGACGCTATATTTCACTATCTTCTCATGCAATGGTTTGAGAATATTTATTAGCCATCTAGCTAGAGCATGCTAGGGCGAATTTTGCATATCAAGTATTGGTCCTAACGGTACCCCTGGTTTATGCACTTTAGGCAGGCCATACAATCTTGGCGTATACGTGCCCATTGGTCTGATTTCTTCATATAAACTTTCAGAAATTATCTGCTCCTCCCTTAGTTTCTTCAAACGTCTGGTTAATTCATTCTCTATTTTGTTATTGAAATCTTTCTTCTCCTCAAGTTTTTGACACTTCTGTGTGTCCTTCAATATATCCTTAATCTTTTTAATATAGTCATTTCTATCAAGAAGGACTACTCCTGACCCTTTATCCGGCTTTGTGATTATCAGTCTCTCATCATTTAGCAGTCTTTTTAGGTCTTCTCTGTGCTCCTTTGTCAAGAGACTTTTACTGTCGCATTTGAGGTTTTTGTACTGATAACAACAACCCACTACACTGGATTTGAAGCGTTCTAGTTCGAAGGTGGATGATGGAGCTAGATCCCTTGTTCGACTAAATAGGTTTTCAAATTCAATATCAGTATCTAAGTGATTAACTCGTTTCGGTCTATCACAAAATCGAAGGCCAAGTGAAAGTACTTCAAGTTGCACCTTATTTAATTCAACACTACTATAATTGTAGACGTACTTTTTAGGATCTGCTGGAAATTTACCAGCCTCTGGCTTGCTTTCAAGTCCTTTCTTTAGCTCTATCTGCTTCTTCTGTGCTCTTCGTTCACTAACTTGGGTAACGTATTCCATAAAAGGCGTTCGAAGATCTTCTGGCAGTTCATCTACCGCATATTGCCTGCGAGCGATATTCATTTCATTCTCTTGAATGAATGTAGATAAAGAGTCTGTTCGGTTAAGTGCATATCGTTTCAGCGTCTTCCTATTGTGATGAACTCTGCTTTGACGTAGAGACTTGTAATAAACTTTAGGATAGTGATTTAACTCGATGCAATTGTTAATGAAATCCAATGTAACCTTTGTTTCATTGAGCTTAGCGGGCTGGACTTATCCGGCATGTTGGTTGGAATTTCGCTCGGCAAATTTTTTTTGTCAATAATTTTTAATAAAATTTTGTTATATGTTTTCTGGATTGATAGGAATTCTCATTTCCTGGCTAGTTATGTTGGTGTTCGCGTCATTTAATCTGACTGCGACACACTTAGCATATTGGTTGTAATGATTAGTGTTTCATGCTGAATGCGTCAAAACATCTCTACAATGAAGAAGATGGGGTAGTTGGGGGGTAATGTCATCTACACAAATAGTTTATTTCTTGTAGAAGCTGCAGCTTTCGGCATAGTGTCTTTCAATGAAGACTACGTCAAAATGTGGCTTTTTTCGTGTGAAGAACAGTACTATTTTACAAAAGAATGCTATCAGTACATGGGAATCACCTATAAATGCCAACAGAACGTAAAACCAATGTGTAAACGAACGGCTACGGAACTGCAATCCAACATAACCGACTAACATGGAGGAAAATGACCTTTGAGCGTCTCACTCCATCAATGACCTTGAGCATGCGGGATAATTTCAGCCGCTTAGCGTTATAATTCAGGTACTCATTGAGAACCTTCAACGCTACAGGCGGCTCACAACATTTTAACTGATTAATAATGCCCATTAAAATTTTCAAAAGAATAGACATGGAACAAAGAGTACTCTTTTCGATAAATTGGTTCAGACGCTTTCTTTACTTTGCCTATCAAAGATTTTAACTATCCTTAAGTTGTTGCGTAAATTCCCTTAATTTTATCCGGCATTCTATTTAGCATTACATTTTTACGCTTACTATAACTTATTCCTCTTTCTTAAACTGCAGTTTTACTGATCTCAACAAATCGATGGTACTTAGAGACGCCAATATTGTTAGTGGCGATTATTCTACACTATTCTATATGCATGTAATTGTAGAACCGGAAGAGGAAATTATCGATGATAATATTCCTTGCTCTAAATTTCTTTTAATACTTTTGGCTCCTGTTTTTATTTGAATGACCTCTGGTCCATCATGGCTGGCAGCCAGTACAACAATATGCGAAAGGCGCTTACGCGCAAGATTAGAAAGTGTTTACATAAGGACCGCGAAACCTGGTGGTGAGACACATGCGTGTGGTATGGAGTCAGCTGCTGCATCTGACAACAGTTGGAAGCTGTCCCAGCTTATCCGAGCTACCGGCAGCAAGAAATGAGGTGTTAGCGAGACGGTCTGCGAGGCAGATGGCACGCCAATTACCAGCCTGAAAAGACCATAGGTGTGTCAGTCTTCTACCAGCTGCGTCGAAAATACTGGCTGCTGCTTTACTTCGCAGGCTGTGCAAAACAAGTGAGGGATTGATTCGCAGAAAGCAGGCTGGGTTTCGTTCAAGCCGTGGATGCATTGACCATGTGTTTGCCCTTCGTTATTTGTCGGAACACCACCACACGTATTGCAGACCAACAATCGTTGTGTTTCTTGATATTAGGGCTGCCATCGATTCGTTGAATACAGCTGTGCTCTGGAACTGTCTGTTCGAGAGGGGTGTACCTGAGAAGTTTGTAAACATCTCAAGTAGAGTGTGAGCGCACAATCAGTTGTCACCACTGTTCTCAGCCAACAGTGGGGTTAGAGAGGGTTGTCCAATCTCCTCATTTCTCTCTAACTTTGCCATCGATGACATTCTGGAGTCAGCTCTGAAGGACGTGCGTGAAGGTGGTGTGGATCTGCTCCCTGGAGAGGCTTTTTGACCTTGAATATGCAGACGATATCATCTTACTGTGCGATAGCCTTCAGACTATCCAAATCGCACTTAATCTGTTGGAGATCAGTGTCTTTGAGTACGGTATGTGCTTTGCGCTGTCTAAGTGCAAAGTACTGTTGCAAGATTGGCAGGAGCCTATACCTGCACTCACTCTTGCAGATGAATCTCCTGAAGTTGTCTATAAGTTCGTGTATCTAAGTAATTATGTGAGTGCCGGCAGAGGTGTGACGGATGAGATCTCTAACCGTATAGTGAAAGCATACGTCAACTTGAGGCACCTCTGGCACCGTCGTGACGTTAGTCTGGTTGTCAAAGGTCGGGTTTATAATGCTTCGGTGCGGGCTGTCTTACTCTACACCTGTTTAACATGGCGTCTCCGAGCTGAGGATGTGTGGCAACTCTGCGTATTTGACCACCGCTGTCTCCGCAGGATTGCTTGCGTTTGACGGTATCATTGTCTGAGTAATTCTGAGGTCCGGCGTCGTTTGTCTGAAGATAGTGGAGATCACCATTCGTTGAGTGTTGTCATCTGGAAACAGTGGCTTGAACAGGTGCTACGGGATGGAAAAGGCGGTGCGGTGGTCAGCCCATGACGTGGCATCATGGGATGAAGGATATTTGTGTTAGGCTAGCATCACTTGGTGCGTCACGACTCCCTGGTTGGGGCCTAGAGATAGCTCGAATCGGTGGTTTAAAACATTATCGGATATGGCCAACAATCGCAGTCCATGACGAACATGCTGCAATTTCCTTCTTTCTTCTCTTTCCGACGATAATTGATTAATGCTGTTTGAACTTATGAAATGTGACTTTTCCGTTAAATGAAGTAGCCTATCCGTTCTCTACCCATATTTTTACTGTTAATCTATGTTGTTTTATTATTATTTTGTGTCTCATCTTCTTGGTGCCATGTAGTACCACGTTTTTGTGTTTATGCAATAATAAATGACATTAATGCCGAGTCACTGCTTCTATATGCTTCAGAGATTAACCGTACGCGTCACTAAAAGCATTTCCGACAGCCTACTGCAGACTTACACCAACAGCTGTCTTCAGTTGATACTGAAGATCAGGTTATCGGCACGGAAGGATAAGTAACAGAGGCCCCTGCGAACTAACCAACCAAGAGCCTTTCCCCTAAAACATATGCAGTAGGTAATGGAGACAGATTAGACATACTCCGAGAAGACGTTTGAGTGACATAACACTGTAGTCAGGCCGTCGAGTGGAACCTGAATGGGAAACGAAAATTTAGGTATGGGTTCATAGGCAACATGGAAAAGATCGTGTTAGAAAGAAGTGAAAGTTCATGGGCAGTCGTAGTAGCATTAGCTAAAAATTACATCAGAGAACAGAGCTTTTGTTCCTGAAAACTAAACCATTTACACGATAGTTTTGCGATTTGCAATGACTATTTAATGAAACAACTAAAGTTTTGTTCTTTTTTAAACGTTGATCAAAGTTTATCAAAAATACGTACCACATGGTTAGTAAACTATGTGGGTGATACAATATTGTGGTACGTTTACTTTGCTGCTAGCTAAATTTAGAATTAATTCAATATCACAGAATCTCGGTTGATTCGACGAATAAAAACTTCAGCGATCAGGCTTTTCCTCCACCCTGCTATTCTAGAGTTTTAGACAGTTGTTTCGTCCCACCATATTGTATTCTGACGGGTAACTGCATGTTGTGTTGTCGCTGAATTCCTTTTTATTTTCTTATCTAACAAAGGTCAGCTATAGAAAAATCCCAATTTAGAAACTTAGAAAACATAAAGATTGAGCGAAGAAATATTAACTTTTCAATTAGATCCTCATCTCTGGCTCTACTCTAATATATACAGCATTTTTATTACAATACACAACAATTTACCAATCAAGTGAAAATATGTTTGTTAACAATAATTAGTCAGTGTCAACATGTCAATGGGGTGATAATTAACGAAGAAAATTAATACACACAATTAAAAGGTAGAAATGGTTACAACACGTGGATTGCACAATGCATAATTTTGGAAGAACGAAGAGTAATTAAGGAATAAGCGTGTACATAGGTTGATTACGTAACAGATTGTTAAAGAAAGTAAAACGATTTGGACAATGATAGCTTGTAACTAAGGCTGAAGTGGTCATAAGAATAAAATAACTTCACAAGGATAACATGTAATTAAAGAGAAATAGTCAGAAAAAATAAAATAATTTGGACAGTTGTAACTTTAAAGGTTTAGGGGGAGGGGGGCGAAGTTGTTTGTCCAGTCTATACATTCATGTAACGACGGCCAAGGGAAGGAAAGTGGCTGTACAAATTTCTTCTGAACACACAGTTTTGGTTTCTCCAGGTGGATTCCTATTGCTTCAGCTGTATGTAGAAGACGAACTCGTACAGCAAAATTAAGGTTAGTAGGAATGCGATAGATAATTTTGAATGCAGTATTAACATCAACCTTATGGTCACTGTCTACAAGGTGTGCTAAAACAGAGCTACGAATAGATCTTGTTTGCAGAATTCATATTTTTCCCAATGAATTTATCTGGATAACCATTTTTTCTAAGTAATTCTCCAATAATCTTAAGCTCCTCATTGAGGCAGTCGTCTGAACGGACTTATCAAATTGTAACTAAGGCGGTGATGCTTAGTAAGTTTAGACTAGAGGTTACATGACAGAAGAATGTGTTGAGAAAAGCTGGGTTTTTATGAATCAACATGGAAAAGAATTTTAAAATACATAATATAGCAAGTGTTCAAAGTCACCGAAACGTTTATTAGGAAAATGATGTTAATAATCGTTATCAAGAGATTAGTTACTCGCTTGTGACACTGGCCGGCAGTTGCGCTAAATATATATCACGAATTGGTAGAAGCTAAAATTCATGGACAGTTGGTTTACGAGTCAGTCTTGTAACCGGAAGTTCCTGGGTTCGAGCCTCATTGGGTGCTTACTAATGAAGAGTCACATACTCGGACGAAACAGCTGTCCAGTACTCCGAGCGGTTATTCTAATGGCTCCCTAACCGATGTTATTTCAACGTGTAAGCCCTGCAAACCAACACCTGAATGAAACAATATTGCAAAGGAAATTTGTTGAATTAAATAAATAAAGGGTGACAAGTGAGGAGATACCAGTAATTGTTCCAAGACAATATATTGATACCAATAGAGGCAATAATGATTGGAAATACGGAATGAATAAACAAAACGCAAAATAAGTGAGGCTAAAGTAGGAATGGAGATATTAATAATTCAACATAGACGAATTAAGAGCATGAAAGGAGTGATTCAACAGACTCGATGATCAAAGCTTCAGCGATACAGATGAGCCGGATACGTAGTGATGATTTTGGCAGGTTATTTACGATCCTGTATATATCTTTGGAAGAAAAGGTTGTAGCCTTAATTATTTTCCGTTGTGTTTAATCAATCTGAATATCCATCCCGTATTATTTTCACTTAAGACAATTTCCGGTATTATCTCGCTTATCACTGTTTATTCATTTAATTCATTACAGTTTATTTGCAATGTTCTATCGTCGAAACTTCCACCTTATTACGTGATTTTTCATTTTATACTAGTCTTTTTAATCCTACATTTTAAGAACTATCACACAAGTTATATAACTTATTTCGTCGCCTAATTGTTTAACTATGATTGTAATTACAAATATTTTCGCTCAGCTCACACTAATATTTCAAAAGAATTCATATACATACAACTGTACAGCTTTGTTAATAAATTCGTTGAATCACTTCTCTTCCTTTTCTACCCTTAAATAGATCAAAAACCTTTTGTTGTCGACATTCTATAAAATAGCTAACTTACATAGCTTATATGCACTTGTTTTTCATTTTTTTTGCATTCCTAATGGAAGATAAGGCCTCAAGTTTTTTTTGAAGTGTCACTAGCACTGGCGATGTTTTTAACCTGGTGGGGTTATCTTAGCCTCACTCTAGCCCAAGTTTCCTTCTTTCCCGAGGCTTGCAACTGGTTAATAAAGTTTAGGAGTGCGTCCGTCGGCCAGGAGTCAAATCCAAACCACCTGTAGGCGTGGTTGACAAACATTCTAATATTAAATCATTAATACACACTACTTACTTTTTAATTACATTAGTTTTATTTATTTTTGTCTATGAAATTCTTAGTGTTAATAATGGAATTTGATCATTTTTCTAAGAATTTTTAACTGATTTTCTCTTATTTCATCACGAATATCTAATAAAATTTAATCAGTACATTATCTGTGCTATGCGAATTGACCAATCCGAATGATACATTTGAATATCACGTACGTCGGTTTCCATCGAAAATTATGCCAACATTTTGTACGTATAAAGTGAGTTTTGATTTAATAATGATGGTAGTTAATTGTGGCTTTACTTACTTTCTATTAATATAACACCTGATGTATGTATGCATGTGTGTGTATGTGGTATAATATAAGTGCCAGTGGAATGTTGACTGCTTTTTATTCATTGAAAAAACGTGTTTCACACACACACACACACAGTGTCACAATATACATCACAAACACTGGTTACTGTCTATAGCCGATTTGTATGCGACAAAAATGAAACAATATAGTGTAACTCTACAACTGCCTGTATTATGCAATCAGCTATACATAAGTATACGTGTTGTCCCTTGAAAAAATGTGATAACTGTAATGAGATGCTGGCTTGTTCAAAGCGCTAGTTAGAATTCAATAGCACCAAGTATGTGTGTGTCTGTCATCTGTTTTGATTAAAAAGGTTTTGTTTGGAGTTTGTATCATTTATCAATGTAGGCATAGTTCAATAGTAGAATGCCAGCCAACCACACCGTGGGTGCTTCGGCTTCGATTCTCGAAACGGCCTCCTTAATCTCACTTAACTGGTAGTAAACCCGGTAAGAAAGAAGGAAGATTGGGTATGAGGTTCCATAATGTTATACAACATCAACTCTACTGAAATTTCAAAGCCTAAAGCCTTTTGCTCCTCTCGAAATGCACAGGAATGAAATAAAAAGTGTATGTGTGTGTGATTCAATTTTATAATAATAGAAGTATTCAGGAGAAAATTGAATCCATCTCACTCTCCCGTATATTGCGTATATCTTTCCCTCGGATTTTATTCTATTTTACTGTCTTAACTTAATTGGTTAGCATGAATAGATAAAATATTCTGTCTGTTGAGTCCTTGTATTACTTTTCAACGACAGAACACATTATTCGGCAGGAGAATTGTTTCTTTGGCAAAATGTATATAAACCTGACATTGAAATCTTCATTCGCGCATGTTCTTCGGACTGTGCTTTTTTGTCTTCCTTTCATGTTTTCTTTATGTTTTTTTACAAAGATCTTTCATTTCTTCTCTTCATCACTTATTCAGTCGTTGTACTATTCAGTATTCATGCAGAAGACATCGTATACAATATACTACATACAAAATCCTGTCAGTAGCACATAAGATTTGATAAGGTTACTTCTTTGCATCGAAGAAACAAAAGAAGTCTACATTAAGTGAGTGATAAGCCTGGTTGTAGAAGGTTCAACTGTTTTAATAAAGTTTACAAATGTAGCGGTTGGAAATAATGCATGACCAGAACCTCCTACCATAAATTGTTTCAAGAAGTGTTGTGTAGAAAGCATATTAGTATTGTTACACTTGTTCTATCGTGTGCTATGTATACTAATCGATCTGTAAGATGTCAAGTTGATACTGTCTTACACAGTGTCTTTAATCAAGTGTGAATGGGTATTTCCTAGGTTTTATATAACTAATGTCTTACCATGTCTCAAATCCCCGGAAGCCTTTCTCATCTTTACACAGATGTTTACGATCTACCTCTAGTGTTAGTGTTATAACTGTAGGGTGGTATAATTCGGCGGGTAATAATGAAGTTAGGCGTCGAGTGTTGGGTGTAAGGAGGGAAGTCAACAGATGAGGTTGTGAAGATAAATCGATTAAGATGACTAGGAAATGTGTTACGTATTCCGAGACAGCACCTTCCTCAATGGACAATGTTGGTTGACATAGGATCAGGTTGGAAAAGAGTTAGTGGTAGTCAAACTAAAACTTAGCATCAGGCCATGAAACTTTTGACAGTTAGTCTGAACCATATACAGTGGCGTAGACTGCCCGGTTTTCGCCCTCGAGGTGGAGACTATTGATGATACGGCTCAATGTCACAGATACATTCACTCTTTGTGCTCTGTCATATCGACTAAACCCTGATGATTTCCCCTCAATTTTTTGTTTATTATACTCCTTCTGGATCCCTTTCTTCTGCCTTTGTGTTCTACACAGAGTGTGACAACTTGAAATTCTGTGCAAAGTTTTACATTGGAACTCAGTCAGTCAGACATCCTTACACAATTACTTAATACATCATTCCACTGGCCCATTAGTTAATTTTCTTTGTGGTATAGTACTCTTCAAATCATTTTGATACATTTATCAGTCATCTAACTATATTTTAACTTTCAAGTTTACTTGGCTTCATTTCTTGAACCAATTTCTTCCACACATTTCGTACTAGTCGCAGTGTTGTAACATCCAGGATATTGTTTTTTGGACGAAATAACTCAGGTTTGAATACTAGCTAGTGAGATCTTTTTCGCCATCTCGTATTCAGCGATAAATGTCTTGTGGTTCATCTGGTGAGACTCTTGGTTATTAGTCAGGAGGCTATTGGTTGAAATCCTGCTGCTATTCAAATTTGTTAGGTTTTGGTTCATTGACTCTAGCGTTTACTTTTCTAGTAAGCTAGTGACCCCCGACTTTATTTCTGCTCTTTCTACCCGAGTGGGAGTGATTGAATAGGTAACATCCACTAGCCCCCCTCTCCTATAAACTAAGTGTGGTTCATAGTCTACTGTTAGCTAATTATAGGGCTCCATAGTTTTGTTTATCTTTGATATAAGCTTATTGATATAGGGATTTCGATGTTACTTACCTGCTGTTGGTTAAAGGAAATATAGTCAGTGCGTCGGTGGCACAGTGGTTAGGACTCTCGCCGACCATGCACATGGTCCGGGGTTCGATCCCCACCCGATATCTATGGTCGGCCTGTAAAATTTGGGCTACCGATATCCATGCTGAAAATACGATGTGGCATCAAACTGTAATCAAAATAAAATAATAAATAAATAATACACTGTAGTCAATAAAATCTACTTACTACTTTTGCAAATTTCGAAAGGGTGGTGATAAGTCTTTTCATCTTGAGGACCATACTTTTGTATTATAATCAATAATGACACTGATATATATTTTTCTGTATACTATTTATTCTTTCCGTCTACTTTTTAGATAAAAAACAATCAGGTTAGACTACGATTACGAAAAGCCTGCGGTTCTGATCAGTGGGCAGGTGTATTGGCTGTTAGGGGTTTAGATCAAAGTTGAAAGGGTGGTTAACAAGAATTATCTATGCTTATCGTTGTTCCATATGTATTGATGAGAGAAGTAGTGTGTACATTCAGAGATAGTGTTCCTATTGTAATTCAGGATATTTCCCTCTATAGTAATTATTCAATGAAGGCACAAAGACAGATAACAGTGGGAGCAGTGAGTAGTAGAGTGGTTGAATGTAACCTAATCAAATAATAATAATAGTTATATTTTTTATCGAATTCCCGATGAAACTGCATTGTGACTTTTGCCTTTTTTATCTTCTTTCATTTTCTCATTTATGTATTTCACAAGACGAGGTGTTATGTAATGAATCCCAGTGTCACACTATTGTTTTAATGTCATTTTATACAATACTTATGCAGTATATTCTTTTGATTTCCAGTAATATATAAAATAAGAAATATATAAGTAGAAGTACTTTTATTTAATAACAAAATTCTTCGAGAATACTGATTTTAGAAGACAGTGTAACCTGGTAATAACCGTCTTAGCTTCCTTTCTTTACCAACCCTCTTGTTCTCAAAATACTTCATTGATCTTTGAAATATAAATCCACTGTTGTTTTTTATACTTTAGATGACTTTGGTATACCATCTCTTCCGTTTTGGTTGGTCAACTTTTAACTCGTAGATAAAAGTGGTAGCAAGGTGTTTTCGTGCATAGGATAGCAAACATCACGGCAGATTTTACAGCTGGAAAAAGCAAATCAATAAAACAATCAAGCAAAATTCCCTACAAAACCAATACTTGAAAATTATTCTGATGCACACCAGCGACTGGTCCTATTCAGGGTTTTAGTGGGAAGCCGTGACTAGTAGGGTGAAGGTGAGGTGGTAACTCATCGAAGAAGACATTGCAAAATAGTTGCGCTATATCATGAATCGGCAGAAGTTAGAATTCATGGACTTGCCATTAGATCGGGTCCCAGTGGCTTAATGATCTACGAGCTCACCTTGTGAGCAGAAAGTCCTGGGTTCGATCCCTGGTGGGTGCGTACTGATGAAGAGTCCCAAACTAGAATGGAATAGCTGTCCAGTACTCTCAGGTTTTCCAGTGGTTCTCTAACTGATGTCAACTCATGATGAAATCCTCAAACCAATTTCAAAACAGGTAAACACAACATCTGATAGGATTGTAGCATTCTCCTAAACAGGTGCAATACAAAGCCACCTGAGAGTAACTATCTGAGGAAATTCAAATCGTAGTCGGCCGCCTCTATTCGACTCGTTTAATCAGGCAAAAACGAAAAGGATGTGAGTTAGCGCGAAGTATGTATGATTTGTTGTCGTTATTGATATTAGACAATACTGATGAATATTTTAACATGAAAAGAAAGTAAAAATCGACATTGTTCCTCATTTATCATTTACATCTAACGGTGACCGTTACCTTGATAGTAATATGAATATGCTGATCATCTACTACCTATCCATTGAGATTTATCCACACAGCGTAGCTCAAATTATTTGATTCGATGCCTGACCAGTTCTATTATGTCAGTGGCGATGTAATAGTTCTGCTGATCTATGGGCTCAGTCACAGATTTCTTCTGACCACAAGGGCTGACGAAAATGATGGTAAACTGTGGTAAGTGCCGGTGACAACAATTCACTTTTACGATACAAAAGTACATTATATACAAATATTACATATCTCTGAAAGGTCAGGCTTCTAGTTTATCCAGTCGCATTTCAATAAATATCCTGTTTTAGCGCAAATGGTTTAATTTCTCCACGCTGGTTCAATCCCATCTAATTTTGTTTTAACTAGATAGCATGGACCGGTTTATGCTGGTTTTAGCCGCTTCGTGTCATATTCCACCATAAGTTGAGCCTAAAGAAATGTGTCTGCATTTCATAACATTCACTAAGACTATTTGCGCCATTTCAACCGACTATGCAGACAACAAAATCCTGTTGAACGAAGCCATCTGGACATATTTGAAACACTTATCCTCCACCAAATGTGAATTGCTCCTTCAAGTTGGGACTTTACGTGCGGGAATGTAGGTAGACGCGTTATTCCGCTTCCTCTGGAGGTACTATTGTGATGGTGTGATACAGACAGTGTCCGCCAAAAGAATTTTATTCTCACATATTGCCACAGTTTAACACTGCATTAGCAACAGAATACTATATATGTATTTGAATATTCTATTTCATTGTAGAAAAAATCCCCAATTAGAAAACATAAAGATTGAGCGAAGAAATATTAACTTTTCAATTAGATCCTCATCTCTGGCTCTACTCTAATATATACAGCATTTTTATTACAATACACAACAGTTTACCAATCAAGTGACAATATGTTTGTTAACAATAATTAGTCAGTGTCAACATGTCAATGGGGTGATAATTAACGAAGAAAATTAATACACACAATTAAAAGGTAGAAATGGTTACAACACGTGGATTGCACAATGCATAATTTTGGAAGAACGAAGAGTAATTAAGGAATAAGCGTGTACATAGGTTGATTACGTAACAGATTGTTAAAGAAAGTAAAACGATTTGGACAATGATAGCTTGTAACTAAGGCTGAAGTGGTCATAAGAATAAAATAACTTCACAAGGATAACATGTAATTAAAGAGAAATAGTCAGAAAAAATAAAATAATTTGGACAGTTGTAACTTTAAAGGTTTAGGGGGAGGGGGGCGAAGTTGTTTGTCCGGTCTATACATTCATGTAACGATGGCCAAGGTAAGGAAAGTGGCTGTACAAATTTCTTCTGAACACACAGTTTTGGTTTCTCCAGGTGGATTCCTATTGCTTCAGCTGTATGTAGAAGACGAGCTCGTAAAGCAAAATTAAGGTTAGTAGGAATGCGATAGATAATTTTGAATGCAGTATTAACATCAACCTTATGGTCACTGTCTACAAGGTGTGCTAAAACAGAGCTACGAATAGATCTTGTTTGTCCCTTGCTCAACCATGCTGGATGATGTTCGGAAATAAGATGATGAACCTGCCTAATTGTACGCCCGATGTAGCTGGCTCCGCAGCTGCAGTCAAACTGCTAGATACACATAGAGGAGGCAAATTTAGGTAGTTTATCCCTATTTCTCGAACGTAGAGTAGGGGTGGTTGTGAAGAGTTGCTGTACGAGTTCGTCTTCTACATATAGCTGAAGCAATAGGAATCCACCTGGAGAAACCAAAACTGTGTGTTCAGAAGAAATTTGTACAGCCACTTTCCTTCCCTTGGCCGTCGTTACATGAATGTATAGACCGGACAGACAACTTCGCCCCCCTCCCTCTAAACCTTTAAAATTACAACTGTCCAAATTATTTTATTTTTTCTGACTATTTCTCTTTAATTACGTGTTATCCTTGTAAAATCAATTTATTCTAACCATTTCTACTTTTTAAATATGTATTGATTTTCTTCGTTTACTATCAACCCATTGACATTTTGACACTGACTAATTATTGTTTACAAACATATTGTCACTTGATTGGTAAACTGTTGTGTATTGTAATAAAAATGCTGTATATATTAGAGTAGAGCCAGAGATGAGGATCTAATTGAAAAGTTAATATTTCTTCGCTCAATCTTTATGTTTTTCTGTTTCATTTTGTTTAATGTAAACCAAAATCACACGCTCAGTGATTACTTCGGGAATGTAAACTATATATATATATATATATATATATATATATACGTATATATATATGCAGTTTTTTTCACTGGAAAATATACCTTGGTTGCCGTCTTGCCTTCTGCTGTTACACTATTACTTATAGGTTTTCAGCTGAATCTGTGTAAGGATACAGGTTTTTTTGACTGTTGCTAGAAAACCAGATTTATAATGCTAGTATACTGCATAGCAAGTTTGTGTTCTGTCTTGATATGGAGCTATGAAACATGACCGCTAAAAGTAGGTTATTTAATGTGGACCACGTTTTTGCCTATTAGCGCCCTGGAATTATTGCTGGTATATAGTACACACGTCACGTAAGTATTGTGATAGGTGCGTTTGGAGTCTTAGTAAAGGTGGAAACACCCATCAAGGAATTTATGGATCTGTTTTGCTTCATGTGGCTAACATATTATGCTGAACATGCCAATTGAAGTCCTACCGAAACATTTGATGCTCTATTAGTAGGAGTAGGATAACGTTGAAAGATTGTCAGAAAAACATTCTGTGAAATCACTGAATATTTTTCAAAACTGTTCAACTTTCTTAGCTGAGTTATTATATGTGACCATTCGTATCTATCCAATAACATTAATTGATATCATTTGAAAACTGTGAATACTGACTATAAGGTTTATTGTAGTTTGCCCCGATTAACATTGTATATCCTGACTAGTCTTGTTTTCATACAGGCATACTATTTATTCATCGATTCCATTTTATACCTTCAACATTTCTTAAGTCACTTAATGCATCGTGTGTGGCTCAGTAAAAATATTTACAGATTATTATGTACTGGTCGCTTGAACTATGTGAACATAAGTATATCAAAGCAATTCTCTCAGTGGGATTGAAATAAGATGTTGGAAACATAGCATAGAATCTGTTGATCGTTGCAAAACCTCAACAAGATATATATATATATATATGTATATATATATATATATAGAAGCTCTCGGAGAAATGAATGAAAGTGGAGAACTCTTTGCCGACTTCTGCGCCTTCAATGAACTAGTGATTGGTGGCAGCGTATACAAACACAAGGCTACATGGGTGTCACTAGATGGGCGAACCAAAAACCAAATCGACTTCATCTCAATCTCAAGGAAGTGGAGGCGCAGCCTGCTGGACACAAAAGTAAGAAGAGGAGCAGACATTGGCTCAGACCACTATCTCGTACAAGGGACAATCCAAATCAAATTAAAAGCTTTCAGAGAATCAGGAGCTGCAGATAGACCACAAGCCAAGTTCAACAATCAAAAACTGAAGGACCAGGACACAAAGGACATCTTCACTGCAAGCATAAAAGACAAAGCCGAGACACAAATCAACACTGGCGAAGAGGTCAGCGTCGAAAAGCACTGGAACAACTTGAAAACAGTGTAGAGTCAAACCTGCATGGAAGTTCTAGGCAGAAAGAAGAGACAGGACAAACAGTGGCTCACTACGGACACTTGGAAACTAATAGAAGAGAGAGGGATGGTGAAACAAAAAATTCTCCAGTGCACCGATGAGCAACAAAAACAGGATTTGAAT